AAGACCATTTTCTCGAACTTGACGGTTTTCTCTATTTTGAGGCAAACTCCTAACGGACTTGATTTATATTTGTTTATTTTAATTTACGAAAAAACTCACAACTGCTACTTCAATGTGTGCTCGGGGTGAAGCTCGTCTGGTAACCTTAACCAGCAAATGACCACAAAGAAATAACAAGCTTAATTGTCCATAGTTTATGTGCTCAAATTTTGTAATTATCAAATCAACTTATTTGAATAACTTGGAATTAAGTATTGTGCATTGTAGAATCTGTCTCTGTAAAAGAACTGTACTATAACCATTAAATAACTAACGTAATCAAATCTATCAGTAAAGAATTTCTACCATAAATTATTGAATTCATAAAAGGAAATAAAATGTTCTTGCTGGATTCTAGCAAGAAATGGAGAAAGCGTATTATGTGATGCAGTAAAATACACACTTTCTACTCTCTCTCTCTCTCTCTCTCTTTCAAAGCATTCCCTGCTGTTGAAGCGTCGCTACTGACTGAGAGACGACTCGCCAGCCATGCCAACCACCGCAGAAAGCCGTGTTAACGTGCGCAGATCCGTGTGCATTGGCGCATTTTAGCCTCCAAGAAAAGAAATAGCCGCACTATTACTCCCTTTCCTTCTTCCCATGTACTTGTCTTTTCTCGTACCAAATTTCCCACTTCTTGAATTTCATTGCTGTTGCTGAAAACAACACCACCAAGGCACCAACCATAAATAACCACACAAAAAAAGGGCAAAAAAAAAAAAGAATTTTTTTTGGGGGGGTAGTTTATGGAATTGTAGGTACGATTCTGCGTGTGGGGAAGCTTCAGATCTGTCAGGAAAATGGAAATGGAGAAGGACATATACAGCCAGTGGTGGTTCTGTTTTTTTGCTGAAACTCTTTGATTTTTGAGTTTAATGATTGAAGAAGTCATAAAAGAGCCTGCTTTCTGTCTCTTTCTTCTTCTTCTCCTGTTTTCTCTTTTAGCTCTATAATTGAAAGGGAAATAGAATAAAAAAAGAATTCTTTCCTCAAACCATTCATTCATCTTCTTCTTTGTTGAATATTGTGTGTGAAAAAGAGAGAAAAATGCTGGCAATTGGGAGCCATTGTAGCAGTACAAGTACTACTTACAATACTTTGCTGAGAGAACTCCAGGTCTTCACTCTCTTTTTTTCTCTTTTACATCTTTACTTTTCATTGCCCTTTCTCTTTGATCTTAAAAAGGTGTTTTTTAGAACTTCCTTTATATGTTTCCAGCTTTTTAGGTAAAATTCAGCACTGATATTTCTTGAATTTTGTTGTTTTCTTGCTTCAATTTCTTCTAGTGTTTGGAGAATTTCTTGAGTTGACTGTACTTGCTTCATTTTTCATAAAATTTGTGCCATTCTGTCTGAATACAATGGGGTTTGATTTGCTTGGTTTAGAACTGAGAATAGGGTCTCTCTTTTGGCCTTAGTTAATACTTAGTAAGTTCCAATTTGCCTCTTTTTTTCTTTTATTGTTTGCCTGTTTGGACTATAAATGTGAGAATTCATGCTGGCTTGGCTTTTAGGGAATAAACACATATGTTGTTGTCTAATATGAATACAATACTGTGGTGTGGCAGCAAATATGGACCGACATTGGCGAGAGTGAGGGTGAAAAACACCGAATGTTGTTGGAACTAGACCGGGAGTGTTTAAAGGTTTACCAAAGAAAGGTTGATGAGTCTGCCAACACGAAAGCTCGCCTTCACCAATCTATTGCAGCCAAGGAAGCCGAGCTTGCAACGCTCATGGCTGCTCTTGGTGAACGCCAAATTAATTCACCGGTATCATACTTCCCCTGAAATAATTGTTCGGAATTTGTTTTCTTGAATCCATGAACCGTTTTGTTTCAAAATGTTTTTAGTCATGTCTTGTTCCATGATAAATATGCTAAAGTTGTTTGCTTGGTGGTGTAATATGTTTTCTTTTTACTCGTTGGGGAATACCAATATGTTTGTGGATTTAACAAGTACAGTTAGAGAAGAGGGTGATGCCATTAAAGGAGCAACTGGCATCAATTACGCCACTAGTAGAGGATTTAAAACTCGAGAAAGAAGAAAGACTGAAGCAGTTTACGGATGTAAAGACACAAATTGAGAAGATAAGTAGTGAAATTTCGGGGTATGGCAAAGTTATCACCGCTATGAGTTCCTTAAATCTGGAAGAAAATGACTTGTCATTGAGGAAGCTCTCGGAGTACCAAACTCATCTCCGTTCCCTGCAAAATGAGAAGGTATGCGTTTAAGTAAAAATGCTTTCTTTTTACCATTTATTTAGCAGAAATTTCCCATCTTTTTGAGGCCTCTGTAAAATAACTACTTGATGGAACTTTGTTCTTCCTCAGTCTCAGCGTGTCCAAAAGATTCTAGAGTTCGTAAACGAGGTTCATTCTTTGTGTGCTGTTCTCGGGGTGGATTTTGGCAAAACTGTAAGCGAAGTGCATCCGAGTTTGCAAGAGACGGGAGTGGGACAGTCTATGAATATCAGCGATAGCACGTTGCAAGGCTTAAATCAGGTTATCCTCAGATTAAAAACGGAAAGAAAAGTTCGTTTCCAGAAGGTACAGTTCAGTTCCCCTCTGATGCTTCTTTTGCTTTCCAATTAATTATTCGGTGGATCCATAATTGCATTATCACTGGTGCAGCTGAAGGATGTTTCCGCTTCACTATTTGAACTCTGGAATTTGATGGACACGACGAGAGAAGAGAAGTTTAGCTTTTTGAGGGTCACTTCCATTCTGGGCTCTCCTGAATCTGAGATCTTTGAGCACGATGCTCTTTCATTGGAGATCATTCAACAGGTTCGGACTATAAATATATAGAGACAATTTTTTTAGGATAAGAGTAAAAGGGCTGGATTTACTATTTTGTTTTGCTCGAATAGGTATCATCAGAAGTTGAGAGGCTGACTAAATTAAAAGCTAGCAGAATGAAAGAATTGGTGATGAAAAAGCGGTCCGAGCTGGAGGATATATGCTCTAAAACGCATATTGAACCTGATCCAAGCACCGCTGCTGATAAATCTTCTGCATTGATAGACTCTGGTAGGATTCCTCGTTTTGGAGCTATGATTCTCAAGACTTCCAAAAGCTAATCGATTAGTTTCTTATATTTTTCTGTATATACAGGTCTGGTGGATCCTTGCGAACTCTTGACAAACATTGAAGCACAGATAAACAAAGCAAAAGATGAAGCTTTGAGCCGAAAGGATATTATGAATAGGATTGAGCGATGGCTTTCTGCTTGTGAGGAGGAAAACTGGCTTGAAGGTTTTAGCCTAGTAAGCCACACTCGAAAGATTCAATTTTTTTTTATTACAAGAAAGGATCATGTCGATTTTGCAAATGTTTGAATAGTGTTTTTTAATGTTAGAATCAAAGCCATTATAGCGGTGGAAGAGGAGCTCACATAAACTTAAAACGAGCAGAACGCGCTCGAATTCTTGTAAATAAGATTCCAGGTAATTTACCCACCCTGGCATTCCCGTTAGGGCTATCCTTTTCGAGCTGGCTGGCTAATAAGCTGTTGTTCTTATATCCAGGGATGGTCGAGAATCTGATTAGCAAGACGCTATCTTGGGAAAAAGAGAAGAAAAAGTTGTTTCTTTATGATGGGGTGAGTTCTTTTGCTGCTACAAATTGCTTGATCGTCTTTTGCATTTACCTCTAATCTGAATGCACTCACCTTCGTTTTACCTATAGGCACGATTGGTGTCAATATTGGAGGATTACAAAGTGGCCCGACAACAGAAAGAGGAGGAAAAGAGGCGTGCTCGGGTAATTCTGATTGTCAATATTAAAAACACACTTTTATAGAGGTTTTAGACTAAAAATCTGAGTTATCCCGATGGCTTTGCAGGATCAAAAGAAACTCCAGAATATGCAACTTGCAGAAAAGGAATCAATCTATGGGTCTAGACCAAGCCCGAGAAGAAGCACGAGCTTTAAGAGTGTCAGTGAATATCATTCTAATGGAAATGGATCTGTAACCCCCTCGCCACGCAGGAAATCGGTTGGTGGCCCAAATTCAGATCTTTTGACACCCCGTTCCTATTCTGGGCATCAAAACGGGTATTTCAAGGGAACGAGAAGGCTTTCAACTGGCCCTCTGAATTTCGTGGCTATTGCAAAAGAAGATATCATGTCATTTTCTTCTGTTTGTGGTTCTGATCCCGAGTCTCCGCCTAAAGCCTGAATATGGAATCTGAACCGGTATGATGTTTTTCTGTACATATTTCAACTAAAATCTGTGATACAGTTAAACATCGCTAAAGCACAACGGGGATGCTAGTTGGATCGAGTTCCAACCTTAAATAGAATGTAGTTGATAAGAATTAGTTTTTAAGTAGATTTTGCCCCTTTGCTAATGTGGCTTGTACTTGAGTTCTCGTATATTTCTAAATTCAAAGCCAAAGTAATAATGCTCCATTCCCTTAAACGTTTTTTTTCATTTTAAAACCAAATATTCTATTTCCTTAGCTAGCTGCAACGGGTTTTCCTTTAAAAAACAAGATAACCTGTTTAAGGTGGTCTGAACATTTACCTTAAACACTCAAAATGAGACCCCCTTACTGCATTGCACTATTCGGTTGAATAATGGATACAAAACGTGAGTTCCCTATAGTTGTTCTCTTTGTATGACTGCAATTTATCGAGGTTATCCTCACTTTGCTGCAAATGTTGTCCTTGCAGGGAGGCGCCTGATATATTCTTTCCTACGGGAACAACTTTCTACGGGGGAAGGAGTGACCAAAACTTGTGAATATAACGAAAGGGTATGTATGTATGTATGTATGTACACTAGTGCAAGCAACTTTCGTTCGGTTATTTTGGTAGTTGAAGCAATGAGATGATGTAGTGGGCGGTTATTTTGGTGTTCATATATTAGTGAGAACTCAGAAGTGAACATTGAAAGAGTTGATAGAAGATTGGTGACAGTATTGTATTAAGAGTTTGGTGTGTTCATTTGTGTGTACATAGTACGGTGTTACGTTGTTGCTTTGACTTCATTTAGGTTTTGTTGTTTTGTTTGAGTTGTATGGTCTTAGGATTAGGGTTTGTATATTTTTGTGTCTTGCTTTTTATTTTTTGACGGTAAATTAATGACACTTCTTATAGACCTTTAAAAAATGGCACTTCTTATGGTGTTGCTCCATAAATGTTACAATGAAACATTTACCAAACATGGGACTAGGTTGCCCTTTTTTCCATTATAGCTTCATGGTGTAACATTTATCCCCTATAATAAGACTCTTGGTCTCATGTTGCAATCATGCAATAGTCTTGTCCACAAATGGTGAAATTCTCTTGCCTCCCAGGACTGCATAGGATAGTAGAGGGTGAATTATGGTGACTTAACGGCCCGTTGAACCATTAGATAGGAGTGCAATTGTCATATTATGTTGTGCAATCGTGTGCACCATGCATGATGCACACGGTTGCGACTGACGCCGTTTCACTATGGTGGAGTAACGGTGCCGTTAGTGGCACTGTTTAACTCCACCAATCAATTTTTTTTTTTTTAAACTCCAATCGACGGGGTTTCTATTATTTTTGGTGTGGATATATAGTTCACTAATTCTGGATATATAGTTCATTAATATAATTCTGGATACATAGTTCACTAATTTTGGATATATAGTTTATTAATTCTGGATATATAGTTCACTAATTCTGAATTTATAGTTCATTAATTCTGAATATATAGTCCATTCATTCTGAATACACAGACGCAGCAAACTGCCATAAGCCAAAACAGAGTACCAGTAACCGGTGTAGATATATAGTTCACTAATTCTGGATATATAGTTAAGTAATTCTGGATATATAGTTCATTAATTTTGGATATATAGCATATCATAATACTGTTAACGACAATCGGTAATGATTTTTTTTAAAGTCGAACGCGTCGTTTTTAATCAAAACGACACTGTTTTTGCAACCATGTGCACCATGCATGGTGCACACGATTGCACGACATAATTTGCCATAGGAGGGCTGGAGGGCTAGTGCCTATGGTGTGGGGATTACAATTTTATTCTGCCCCACATGCCACAGATACTCACTCAAATCCACCCCGCATGGATCGAGTTTTTTTGGTTGATAGTGGGTGGTGGGTCTTAAAAAATAAAATTTACAGTGAATCAGGTTGGATTCGAATTTTATGCCTTGTCATGGTTGAAAGGAAAGATGTGAAGATAATGTGCTCCTTGAGTCTAACTACTCCAATGTGGTGTACGTGTTCAACAACTTCTTAGATTATTCTTTCGATGGCTTAATTAATTTTGAGTGTAGAACTGTTATCTCTTTTTTTAATAACATTTGTGTTTGTTTTGTTATAAGATCAGCGAATTCGATTGCTCACCGACTAGCCCGAATTTTAGATTCCCATGCTGGTCGGGGTTTGTGGAATCATAGCCCACCGCCCCATATTATGAATTGTATTTTTGGTTAATAATATTTGAGTTTTTTTGGTTTTCGAAAAGTTATAATATTTAGCATTCATATATATTAAGTCGAATATATTGACGCCAATGAACATGTTTTTTTTTTTTTTAATGAACATTGTATTATTTGTTCAAACATACTTTCTCAACCTAATGAAGCACAAAGACACCTCCACTGAGGCCGATCTCATGATCTCCCACATGAGAGAAGTCACTATATGCCATCTGAGCACAATGTGCTTGACGATGCCAATGAACATAAAATAAAGACTAAACATAAAATTTATTACCCCGAGTATTTGGAAATACGGGCTATATATGTCATTACGTGACAAAATTTATATAACAAGAGTTTACTTTAATCTCAGCCAAAAAGTTACTACGTACTATATAAAATTCAATAAAAAATGTAACTTGGGATAGGTTATACGAACAGCATCCGAAAAGCTAGCTTGTATGTTGAAACTTGAGGGACTAAATTTCTACTGCTTTATGAAAATATGATGAATAAAGAGATACACTTAATTGGCTGAACATTTCTTTTCTTTTTATAAACAAATAGAAAAGTTATTAAAGATTTTGATTCAAATGAAAGTAGTTTAAGTCCTTATATTCATGGGTATGTAGACACCCAAGAGAGTTGTTTTCGGATGGGGCCCAATTGAGATTTTGATAGATCAGAGTTGTTCTTGGGTAGAGACCAGTAAAATTCTTAAAGGGTCAAATTCAGCACTCATCATCTCGAAAATGTGTTGCGGTAAAAAGAAATAAAAATGCACGGTCCCAACAAGTCTAGCATCTGGTGGCTGGGTGACAGTATAAAGAAATAAAATTACTTATTCACTAGTAGATATAACTTTTGGCCTAATAATAAGAGCTTGATTATAACAATTGTCGACTGAAACTCAGTTAATTAATTAGTTGAATTTTGGTCGGTATAGTTTGTAAAAATAGATAAATAAATACAAAGGTGGATAATCCATATCGAGGTGGACAAATTAACATCTTTACAGCTTAACCTCTTGAAATCCAAGAAAAGACAAAAAGCAAAATATTGGCGTGCATTTTCAAACAAAACGGCTCTTTTTTCCTAACATGCAAAAGTAAAAGATGGTGAAATCTCTCCTTTTTCACATGCTGTGCAGCATATGTTGCCCCACCAGGGTTTAAAGATTGTAACATCAATGGAGAAATTGGGAATCTTTCCTTTCACTGTTGCTTCTTTGATCCCACCATGCCTCCCTATATCTTTATTATTCTTTTTAGAATTTAGATTTCTCAGCTTTACCATACTATATATCCGAGATCCCATATAAAATTGTACAATTATGCACACAAAAACTCAAACTTAACCATTAATGTTCATGATATGAATCGAATTGAAACATCACCACCCCACTGTTGGAAACCTGTCTTAGATGAGATTTCTCATTTACTAGATTTTAGACTCTTCTTTTTCACTAAATATACAACATCTCAAACAATTGAAAGACCATATTTTAAAAGGAAAAAAAAAAAAAAAAAAAAAAAAAACCATGGCATACCTGTTACCAACTCCAAATGGATGGTCATAAGTTTGAAGTGCGATGACATCCCGGTTATCACTCCAAATGGATGGGCATAGGTTCGAAGTCTGATGGCATTCCCGTGGTGAGGATTTAGATTCTTTGAGCTGAAAATATTTGAGAAAGTATAAAACAGATATTGTCTTGTAAATAATCACGAGTATTTCAAAAAAAAAAAAAAAAAAAAAAAAAAAAAACAAACAAAACAAAACAAAACAGGAGCCCTACATTACCTAATTAGTAACAATTAAAGCTAAGGTTGTACATATAATTTTTCTTTTTATTAATTTATGGGTATATGTTAGGATGAAATAAAATTGTATTATTATTAGTACACACCTAAAATGAATCCTCTCCATCATAAAGTTTGTCCTGAAGCCAATAGTAGCACAACTTTTGGCCACTCTTGGAGGCTTTTATATATGTACCTCTCTCACACAAAAAATGCAAGATGTCATTTCCTTGTCCTTTGTCTTCCCAAGAACATTGTGTAAGATACCTCCCCCTATGAATGTGTCCCTCCACTTTAATTTGTGAATATAATATATATCACCTATATATATATATATATATATATATATATATATATATATATATATATATATATATATATATATATGTAACCTTCAATTCCATTACATTATTGTTTCATATATGTCCTAATGCTATATGAGAGGTAGTGTTCTATCTACAATATAATAATAATGTCCTATCTAGCTTAGTATAGGAAGTATGGGAAAAGAAAGCATGATTGGGTTGAGAGACACAAGTATAGAGAAGAGACTGAAAGGCATAGTGGCTATGGAGTTTGAGGTAGAAAGTAATAATGGAGATGATGGAAGCTTGATGAGTAGTGAAGCCACCACCTTCTGGCCGGTTCAACACCCCACTGAACCATTGGAAGAAGACCGCCCCATCATCTGCCCAATGCCATACTCTTCTTCTGTCTTGAAGGTATGTCTTCTTCATTCTATTCATGCTAGCTAAAACATTGCATCCCCTATCCCGAGAGTTCCCACCTGTCTTGAAACCTCAGTGAACGAGGAAAATTGTAAGATGTGTTTTGAAAATCTATAGATTCTTTCAGAGTGCTTCTACCTGTCATGGAGCCTCAGTTAGAAAGGTAAATTGTGAAATATGTTTCGATGATATATAAATTTCTTACCGTGTTACTATCTATCATGCAATGGAGCCTCGATTAGGGGAGGTAAATTGCCAAACATGCATGTTTTGGTGATCTATAAATTGCTTAAAAATATTTTGTTACTGTCAACAAAGTTTATGGGTAAATTACAGTGATTTAGTGACTCATTAGGTGGGAGTACCAGTGTCACCCACACCATGACTGTCCTGACTCGATCTTATGTCATTGCTCACAGTCGACTACCCAAAAATCATTTTAGCTGTTTGTATAGATAAGTATCTTTAAATTTATTAACCAATTAAGTTGTATATCTTGGGCAAATTCTACTCATCCTAGATGCATGTTAGACTACTTAGTTTTTATCTGCATAACTTGGACTTTTTTGACATGATTAGCTAGCCTAATTAAGCTAAAATGTGGTATTGTACAGAACAATGGGCTGCAAGAAGGGAGGTTTTCGGCGGACATTATGAGGAAGAGATCAGATTACTCGGCACCGCCGCGGAAGAGCGGAGGAATCTTGGAGGTGACGATGGAGCCGCCGATCCGAGCGGTGCGCAAGCGGCACCACCCGCTCGGGCCCGAGTACCGCGGCGGCGTAGCCGGGCCGGTGCGGAGGGTGCCGCCGCAAAACGCAACCATGTCTCAAGTGCTTCACCAATTCAACCACTTCAAATCTTGACAAGACAGACAGTCAAGCAAATAATAACGCCAATTAAGAAATGCAAATTAATTAAAGATCATATCCCCGGCATCATCATCGCTCCATCTAATCAGCTCCGATCCCTACTGTTTTTGCATCGATTGTCGCAGCAATAACTTTGTCAGATAATGTTTGGTTTACCTGCCCAGAGAATGCATAGGTCATAGACTCATAGGTGTGGGACTGTGGGGTCGTCTGGCCGGGCAGAAAATTAAAGTTACATACGTTGTTGGGTAGACTGGGAAATAAGGTTTCATCATCATCATCATCATCACAGTATGTTGTACGTACGTTATCACTGTGAATTGGTCGTCTGGTCTGCACGACATTCTAGTCGGACGATAAGATTCTAGGAAACCGTACTCGAGGGTATGTACTGAGTAAATTCTCGTCGTCTTATAATCAGATGTTTTTTTTTATTGAATGGTGTTATTATGATGAGTTGGGTCCTGTCAGTAATATCTTTCATTTCCTGGATGCAAGATGTATAATGTGATACTCATTTTCATTATATTCTCAACTCCTTCCTGCTCGTGTTATATATATGTCAGTTATATTATTAGAACGATGCCTCATATATAGTCTTAGGACTACAAAATTTTCCTTTCTATGTTCTTTGCCACTTCTTGGAAGAAAAGCGAGATTAAACATGTTAAAACAATAATAGTTCTCAGGGGTGGATCTAGCTCCTCCGTATCTGATCTCTAGGGAAAATATAACAGTAGTTAAAAGAAGTACTATTTGTAATATAATGAAGGGAAAATAACATTTTTTTGTCAATACATTTATACATGCATGAAACAACAATTTTATTCTCTCAATTATTAATGTAAGCATTACTGAGTATTGACCCTATAATTTTTTATAAGGTGGTGACTTTGGTCCCTTGTTAACATTGACAATTAAAGACCTTCACCATTACTTATAGTATATGTGTGAAACTTGTTAGTTAATACTTAATATATGGACAAAATTGTATTTCAAGAACCCTCCAGTTAAAGTTTATGTTAACATGTTGAAGAACCAAAATCATTATGTCATTAAAAGAATGATGACCAAAGTTGTCACATGATAAAAATTAGATGATCAATAATAATGCTCATGTCAATAATATGGGTAATTAAATCACTATTTTGTATAAATATAACAACATAAAATGTAATAGAGCTAGTAGCATTCAAAAAAAAAAAAAACAACATAAAATGTTATTTTTTTTAGTAATATAATGAATATTTATTTTGATGAGAACAAATTAATTAAACACTATAATGAACATTATATTATATTATTGTGACAACCATGAATATATTATTGTTTGTTTTATGGCTTAGGGCAGTTAGACGGCAGGCCAACACTACTGTAAAATACTAAGGGGGGTGTATTCAATCATGATTTTCATAGAGTTTTAAAGACTTTTATAAACTTTAAAAGTTTGGAGGTATTCAATTCAAACTTTTAGAGAGTCTTTAAAAGTCAGGCGGTATTCAATCAAGATTTTTAAAGAGTCTTTAAAAGTCGTGTGGTATTCGATTAAGACTTTTAAAGAGTCTTTAAAAGTCATGTGGTATTCAAAAAGTTATGAACTTTTGTAGACTTTTTAATTTAAAGACTTTTATAGACTTTTGTAGACTTTTCCTTCACAAATATAAATAGTTGAAATCCAACCATCAACCCCAAGATTTCAAATTTTCTTTCTAACAACTTTGAATGTTTTCTCTCTCTATTTAAACTCTATTTTTTCTCCCTATTTAAACTCTATAAACCTATCTAAATTCAATAAAAGTATTTTTTTCTTCATTATCTTATATTTTCCTCACACCTAAACTCTACCAATTTTTCTCTCTTATAAACTTTAGAACTTTTTCTAAAAATTCGAAATAATATTATTTTTACTTCATTATTGCTTGTTTACATTGGTTTTTTATTTTTTTTTCTATGAATTTTTATCCCTAACTTTCTCTAATTCTCCCTAAATACATGAACAAAGCAAATTTTTCATCGTCAAATTTTATTAGTATATGTTTCGTAATATTCATATAAATACTTATATATTTTGATTTTTATTATTTTATGTTTATATTCGTAATATATATTTTTCCTTTTTTGTTTTCAACAACAGGTTACTACGTATAGTGAATTACTGTTCGCAACAACAAGTTGGAGTTGCAAACAGTAGCACCTTGTTGTTGTTTGTAGTCTCAAATTGCTATTGTAAATAATAGTTCTTTGTGTGATGCCTAGCAACATATCAAGGATAATTTTATATATATTATTAATATTAGATTTTTATTTTTTATCTTATGCAACTTGTAATTATGTTTTTAAATATTTTATTTGATCAAGTATTTTATTATGAATTTTATTGTTCAATATTATTACGAATTTCTAATGAAATATTTTTTTTTTTTGTTGATGTTTATTAATAATATATATAAGTAATTAGCATATAAGTCTCAGCATACTATGGATAAAAATAATAATGTTGAGAATGTTGATGTGGGTGAAGAACTATATAATAAGAAGAATTTTATGATATATTATAAATATTTTGTAAGAAAATTATAAAAGATAAGAATCAAAATCATTGAAAGTTTGTAAGGATGTATTCAATTTAGAATTTCATTGAGTTTTGTAGACTTTTTAAAATAAAAAGTTGATAAAAGTCTATGAATGTTTTTTATATAAACTTTTATAGAGTCTTATAAAGTTTTAAAAAGTTTTGAACGACTCTATGAAAGTCAATCAAAGTTTATTAAAATCTATCATTTTAAAAGTCATTAAAACTCTACAAAAGTCATGATTGAATACACCCCCCTAAGTAAAAATTGGGAGAGAGATCGAACAGAGTAATAGTGCTTGTTTTGAATTCAAAACCCTTTACAATGTGATCACGGGGTATTTATACAAGAAATATGAACCTTAAAGAATGTGAGAAAGAAGAAAATTAACTAATTTATACTTAACAAAACTTCTAAAACTGCTGGAGTATTTTCCTAATATGAAAAAGAAAGATCCCCGCATTTAACGGAAAGAATCTCTGCCAAATTTTTGACCATAACCATTGAGCTCTGCACTCAGTCGGGATCCAACCGACGGCCTAAACTAGTCGAACGAACAAGCTGACCGACGGGCTATAAACAAGTGGCAAGCGAGAGCTAGGCTACTGAGACCCCTTTACCTCCAATTCTCCAAGTGTTAGACCACACTTTTCTGACTGCCTAGGGACACACCTGACTGGGTACCCTACTAGGGGTATACATCAATTATATTCAAATATTATGAATGTATGTATATAATTACCAGGACACCTATTGTGATACCAAATATTATATTATATTATATGGGTATATCCATTGTATTGGTAAACCAATACAAACCTCCAACAAATATGAGGCTAAAAATAAAATGTTGTGTGCTTTGAAAAATTGTTCCATAAATTTATATATATTTGCGCGCGCCGGCTCCGGCACAAATTAGCCCCTCCGTTGTAAAAATTGATCGCCGGAGCCGGAGGTGTTCTTCCGGAATCACGGAGGAGATCATCGGAAAAACCGGAAAGAGGCGAAGGGGCACCGTACCCATAATAAATGGGGAAGCTATGGAACAGAGCCGCCGGGGCTTTGAAGGACCAAAAAAGCATAGTAGTGGCGAGGCTGGGCAGGCGGACGGCGCTGCGGAGACCGGATGTGGAGGCGGTGGTGATCCGGGCCACCAACCACGACGAATCGTGCGTGGATTGCGAGAGCGTTGAGAAATTGTACAGGATGATCCGGCTGTCCCCCAACCATTTTAGGCCCTTGATTTGGGCGATTTCCCGGCGGATGGATAAGACTGGGAGTTGGGTGGTGGCGCTTAAAGGCTTGATGCTCGTGCACGGCGTCTTCAGCTCCCGGATCCCCGCCGTCCGGAAGATCGGACGCCTCCCCTTCAATTTCTCCGATTTCAAGGACCGCCATTCCCGTTCGTGGATCACCCGGGGACACAACCACTTCATCCGCGCTTATTTCGCCTTCCTGGATCACAAATCCGCAATCCTCTTCATCGATCACAAGGTAATTAGGGTTCATAATTTCCCCAATTTTCAGATTTCATTTTACAAATTGAATGGTGATATAATCGATCATATATATATAGGAACAAACACCACGGTTGTCGTCTTCATCTTCATCTTCATCGTCGTCCCTAATGCAAACCCTGGAGTTGCTGCAAAAGCTGCAAGACGTACTGGACATGACGCTGAAGATCCGCCCAAATTCCGCGGACGCCGTCACCGTGCCCGGCCTCATCGCCGACGCTATGGACTGCATGGTGGTGGAGATTTTCGACATCCACAACCGATTATGCACCGGAATTGTGAATATCCTGCCGAGAATTTTCGAGGCCAGCAAGGCGGAGGCTGAGGCGGCGCTAAAAATCGCCGCTAGGGTAAGACTCCAAAGCCAGGAGCTCAACGACTACTATGATTTGTGCAATGAACTCGGCCTCACCAACGTTTCAAAACTTCCAATTCCTACAATAACTGATAAAATCAGCAAAGAACAAATCCAAGAGCTTGAAGACATAACCAACGGCGCCGGCGGCGTAATTCCGGTGGTCTACGGCGATTCTTCACCCCATCATCACAAGGCCGCGGCAAAGGAATTGGAACAACCATCATTATTGCTTCCCCCTGCATCTACCATAGCTCAACAAAACGTCGTGGCGAAGGAGACGACTACTCGCAATAATTCCACAATAATCACCCATCAATGGGAAACGTTCGAAGAACACAATAATAATAATAATAATAATAATAATAATAATAATAATGATGTTGTAATTAATCCTGCTGCTTATTATGCACCGCCTCTTTTACCACTTAACAACAATTTGCATCTTCAACATCAACATTTCCCAGATCTCATAACTTTTTAGTATAGTAGTACGTGTTCCTTCAAGCTCATTATTTTTCATTTTCATGGTGTCTCGTATAACGGTACGCTATTTTATTTATTTTATACAGGAAATTATAAAATTTAAAATTGGGCATAATTCGTTGGTTGTACTTTTTCGTTTTGTTGAGAAAAATAAAATTAAAAATAGATGTACAACAATTTAAAATGAAAAAGCTCTTCATTTTTGAAGTAAAAACTTTGATTTATGGGAAAATATGTAATGGGACTCGATAGTAAATTGGTCTAACATCATTACCCATCAATTGTTATACCATGGACCAGGGTTCATATTGCATTGTGAATCCTTATTCAAAAATTATGTACCTTCCGTTAACACATTCTTACCTACATATAAACATAACTTATAATTTAGGTACAAAATGTGTCAATTATAGATACAAAATCTAAGAACAAATAATTTGATAATTGCTAACTATCAACTGCAAGTACAAAATGTGTCAACTATAGATACAGAATGTGAAAGTTATTTTTGGATCAAGGTCTACAATGCAAGGTAGACCTTAGTCCATAGTATAATTTGCCGACTAAGTAAGCTTGAAAGTAAGTCATTAATTTTCCTATTCATGACGTACAAATTAAAGCATATGTGGACTTTTCAAACTAAGAGCATCCTCGATAGTGAGGTTTTTGAAGTAATTTTTGCAGATGTGATTATGAGAGAGAAGAGAAAAGGAAAAAAATAAATAGAAGTTTGACAACAAAAAATAAATTAAATATAAATCAACCTATTTACGCGCCCGCTGGGCACGTAATTTGGCCACCACGCGAGACCAAGTTGCCTTTTCATTTCCACGCGGGACCCACCATTGCCTACCAAAAACCTCTTCTCCTGCAAGCACTTCATTTCTTCTCTCTCCTCACCCCGGCCCCTCTCTTCCACATCAGCCATTCTACCTCAAAAACCTCACCAAGATTCACTAATGTGGATGCCCTAAGTATACATCTGCTTTGGTCCTTGCAATGCTCAGCTAACAATCCTAACATAGTACACAAGTTTCTGGTTCGTGGCATCATTCTCTCTTACTAGCATGGACCAAGTTGGTCATACACTACCGAAGTATACATAGAATGATCATCTCTTTATTGGTTTTAATAGTACAACTGTTGAGGCTAAATATGTCTTCAACTCCTTGAATGCGCTTTGAGACTCTGGACCCCATTGAGAATTGGTCTTCTTTAACGTGCGGAAGAATGGGATGACCTTTTTGGCTCACCTAGACAAGGATACCAATTACCATGTTAATTGTTATATGTCCTTCATCACTCTTGAGTCTTGCATCTTTATTATTGCCTTGACTTTCTCAAGTCTAGTTCGATCCCCCAATGTCATCTCTATTCTTAAGAATTTCCCAGTTTGAAGGCAAATGTACACGTCTTTGGATTTAGCCTTAGGTTTTGATAACTTCAAAGCAATTGGCTAGATCAATAGGATGGGAATCCCAACCTCTATTTTTGGCAAGCATATTGCCCATGTAAGCTTACATGGTTTTTCCGAGCATATCACTGAATAACCAATTGACCATTGTCTAGTACGTTTTCCTCGCATTTCATAATCCAAAAGGCATTACCTGGTAACAAAAAAAAAAAAAAAATCTTTTCAATTTGGTAAAAGCATTTGTAGTCTCATCTTCCTCTGCTATGAAGATCTAGTGGTAGCTCTTAAAGGCATCCATGAAACTTTAGATCTCACACCCAGCGGTCTCAATGACCATCTAGTCTATGCTCGGGAGGGCATATAGGTCCATGGAACGAGCCTTGTTGATGTTTGTGTAGTCAACCGTCAACACACATCCTCCAAGTCGAATGCTTAGTGCCAGGCCAAGACTACGTTAGCTAACCAATTTGATGGATAATGATGTTTTAATTATAAGCATAGATTGTACTAATTTTTTTTATGCGAAAGTATTAATATACAATACAGGGAATAATAATGTATAATATGATTTTAAAAAATATGAATATTTTTAAAATATTTGAATATAACAATGAGTTATAACATTTTATTTTTCAAAAAAATGATTTTGTTTTAAAAAAATATTAGTTGGCCTGTGATCGGCATAGATTGAGCCCGCAAAGCCCACCTCCTCGTGGGCCAAAAAAGTTCAAACCTAACTCACCCCATAGTGAGGCTGGCGGTAGGACATGTTCGCGGACCTCAACTCACTTTAAAATCTCTATTCACTTATTCCGGATGAGAGAATCTTTTTTTCCCAAATAAAATAGAGGTTGGGATTCCCATCCTACTGGTCTAGCCAATTGCTTTGAAGTTATCAAAACTTGAGGCTAAATCTGAAGACGTATATATATTTCGCCAGAGGATCAATGGACTTATGAACGAACGATTGGAGTTGGAACTTTAAGGAGTTGTTGGGCGGTGAAGAGTTGCGGAAGAGGATGACTAAACAATTGCATGACGCTGCTCGGCCTCTAGGCTACCACCAGTAACCCAATTGCACATGACACACTACCAATAAAAACAAAGAGGATAAGTACGGAAGATGAAGAAAATGACAATGTTACCCAAAAGAGAATTAAGAAGACTTAGAGAAATTTAAACTAAAAGTAATATTTATTTAGACTAGCGTTATTACAATGTTGCAAATATGTAGTTTAGTGACAATTATAATCAATCTTTCATATACTGATATTATCTTGCATTTTTAATTGTTTATGCATGAATGTCTTTTATATAATCTTACATTGATATACTTTGAATTACATATTTAAAAATAATCATTGGGCATTATCCACTTGCGCATGCACTAAAAAATTAGTAAAATAATAAAGATAAAGATGGAAAAAAAGGGTTAGGAAGCTACTAGTTTATTTTTGAAACATTACCCGAACTTATAATAATTTATTAGTAACTTAAAATAAGTTATAAGCTCCTGAATAAACTCTGTCAAAAGGGTCATAGTCATCACAAATTATAAATTTTAAAAAAATAAATTTTAAACATTTAAAATATAAATTGTATATTTTTGAACTTGGGTCTGTCTTTCAAGATGGATTCGGTCCACATAATAATTTGTCCTTATGCAAGTATTGGGCCGAATCTAGTAATGTAATGATTTTAACATGGAGTTAAATATTTTCTTTAAATAAATCAATGAGAGTATATATATTTCCTTTTTCTATATAAAAAATAATTTAATAGTTGAAAATATTTAATAGTTGAAAATATAGTTTCCGGAGACAGACAAGATTTTAAGGGGTCGATCTCTTTCTTAGGTTTCTCTCTCATCTCTCTGTCTGTCTCTCTCCTGGGTTTCTCTCTCCTCTCTCTTCCCCGAAGGGCAAAAAAAAACCCTAAGGAGCTGTTTGCCACAGGTAAGTTCTCTCTCTCTCTCTCCCTCTCCCTCTCATAAAAAATATGGACCTTTCCTCTTTCTCTCTTTTTCCATAAGTTGATTTGGTTTTTTATTTTATTTTTTTCGGGTCTCTAGTTTAAAGCTGCCTTGCTTGTCATTCATATACACGAATCTGGCTGATTCCGCTATTCTTTTATCTAGATCTATTGTTTTTTTACCAGATCCGTGTTCAAAAGAACTGGAGATTGTAAATTCTTCATTGGAAAATTAGTTGTTAATGTTTAATTTGGTGATTTTTTCAAGGCGGTTTTGAAGTTTTAATTTTTAGTTCACTCCTTTTCGCCTGGTGATTTGTTTGCATCTTGATCGGTGTGGGTTTGATAAAATTGTGATCTGATATGCAATGCCGATGATGGGTCTTTGCAAGTTGGGTGGTTCATTTTTGGTTGCTGATTTTGGTTTGGGTGTTTTAATTTGTTTAACCAAGAGTTTAATTCTAGGGTTTGAATGTGAAAATTGGTATAGTTCTATTGTATTTCCTCTGCTGGCTTTCATGATTTACTGTGTTGTGAAATGAAAATGGTGCAATGGTTAAGGTTGATTGGCAGAGTTTTTAGTAAGGAGTTAATGTAATGGTATTTGTTTTCCTTGAACTGCTGTAGCTCTCAATGGATGATGATGGGTTGAACATGAGGAACTGGGGTTATTATGAACCTTCCCATAAGGGGCCTCTTGGTTTGCAGCTGATGCCTTCAATGGTTGATCGAGACACTAGGACTTTCTTCTCTGGGCGCGAGAATACTTCCATGATGGCGACCAATGGTCTTTTTCATTCCCGGGAATCAGTTGTTTCTCAGGCGTCGCTAACGCATATAGACTACATTAGAGATGGTTGGATAAACCACAGGGACAAATTCCTGCATATGTTTCCTGGGAACCCTTATGGTGGTGGTGTAATGGCTGACCCTTCTGGAACTCAATCGTCTATGCAAATGCTACAGACTGATTCAACTAAGGAGGAAGTTGGTACTGTGGAGGATCCAAGTGTTGGTAAGGATAGTTGCCCTTCAAAGAAGAGGCCGGGTGCTGCAGCCTCATCACCGAAAGCAAAGAAGCCAAAGAAAGGTCCGTCTGCACCGAAGAAAAATGACAACCCTCCTGCTCAACGGGCAAAACCAGCAAAGAAGAGTATAGATGTTGTAATAAGTGGAATTGATATGGATATATCGAGCATCCCAACTCCCGTTTGTACCTGCACCGGGACACCTCAACAGTGTTACCGTTGGGGATGTGGAGGCTGGCAGTCAGCATGTTGCACCACAACTATATCGATGTACCCCTTGCCTATGAATAACAAAAGGCGGGGAGCCAGGATTGCTGGTAGGAAGATGAGTCAAGGTGCATTTAAAAAGGTTTTGGAGAAGCTTGCTTCTGAAGGCTATAATTTTTCTGACCCAATCGATCTAAGGACTTACTGGGCTAAGCATGGTACTAACAAATTCGTGACAATCAGGTAAAACTCGCATCAATGGTATCAGTTCTTGACAGTCATTGCCATGCTCTCTGTTTTTTGTTGTATATACTTCGATGGCCATGGCCAAGGCCAAGATTTAATTTGTACTTTCTAGTCCATTTTACAGCGATTATACTTATGACTTTGACATTTGAGATTAAACTTCTCTTCTGTTTCTTTAATGGCCATTAATGTTTCTTGGCCACATAAAGTAGCAGTCATGACTCATGAATATTTCTCTTTTATTTATTAGATTATTTTTGCACCAAGCCCTGCCATCTCTTATCACCATTACTATAATGCTGTTATGTATCTTGTTTGCTGCATACTATCATTGTAGGTTTTGATGGTCTAATATGGTATTAGAGTAACTGCCTCCCGAGCAATCGTATGGCCTAGAAATTGAGTTCATGTTTTATGTTTATATTGTTCTTCTACAGTATTTCTACTAGCAAACTGTATCAAATCTGATCAATGACTATTTGATAGGAAACTTCATAATATTGTGCTAGAAGATAAAACTTGCCTATTATATGCATATGAAAGTGTAGTCTGTGGACTAAGATTCTAAACATTGATGCATGATTAAGTTTAGTCCTAATTTGGAACAAGTAATTTGGATTCTAGTGTTACCCTTTTTCCCTTTCCCCTTTTAGAAGCTTTTTTACATTATTCGTTTCTTTACATTGTTAACTTGCATTCTGTTCATACATACTTTCTCAACTTGTTGAAGCACAAAGAGTCAACACTGCCCCTCCACTGAGCACAAGGTGCTTGGCAACTAGTGGCATTAGTACATTTTGCTTTTCATACCCATCGACTATTGACATAAGTCTTTCCTCTTGTCATCATAATCAACATCTGTATCACGAATTTGCTCCATTATTGTCTACTGCCATTTGTGCCAAATTGCACTTTGGACCCTTAGCTACTGTTGACATCACAAGCTTTTACTTCTGTAGTTCTGTCAACTTATCTACACTTTCATATATGTATATACTACTCCTGTAATATCTACAGTGTCTGGATTTTTGTATAAGAATCTCGATTCACTTTGTAATATTCATACCCGAATCTTGATTCACTTTGTAATATGCATACCTGAATCTCGATTCACTTTGTAAATGCATATGCCCTTAGTGGTTAGTTTACTGTGGTTGCACAGTGCCGCATCTTGGAATGAATCCAGATCTTTAAGTGATGTATGCTTTCATGTTTTTAGTTTTCTGTTGATGGAACAGTTGAACTGAACTCTACAGAAGCTTTGAATTGATCATATTATGTATGAGCACTGTACATCTTCATGAGATTGTGTGAATCTTCTTGTCTGAACAGATATATCCATTTATACTAGTGGTGATCTTACCAAATAGAACTATGTTATAATTGATTGTAGTGGGTATTATTGGTATCATTCTTGACAATATTCGATACAAAAGTATATCATACATGGTTGTATTTGATAATTAACATTCTAAATTTTCTCTACAATTATAATCGTTTTAAACTAAAAACTTGAACTTTTAGAAGAGGTTAATAAGTGACCCTTAAAGATTCAAGTTTTAGAATTCAAATTTTATTTGATTATCAATTAAACTAAACTATTAACGTATTTTAGATTAAGTTATATCTAGAACTAAAAAGATGGTAATTCATGAAAACCAAGCACATTAAATTGTTACAACAAGAAGCATAATTGTCACATGCATTTCCTCGTGTAGCAACTAGCAAATGTTGGCGACAACATCATTGGATTCCTCATGTTCATTAGCTGATCTGTCCCATGTGAATTTTATGACTTCTAGATCTATACCTCACTTTTCTTTTTTAACTTTTAAATTTGGAAATTTTAGTAACGTGTAATGCGTTGCGGGACTAACCATTGAATACCATGATTATTATTGGTAGCATTTATATGATTATAAATTGATAATAAAAGGGTTTAAAACGATATGGAACAAAACATTGTTTCAAAATGTTGAATTCCCAACCCTAAGGGTCCCTCACGCTCTGACCCGGTAGATCATTTGTGAGTATGTAAATCATGGTAACTCAGTTGAATACAAAGGTTAGACCTTTGTTTACTGTGCACGATATGGAACAAAGCATTAATATATGCATACGAGGTTCTTTTAACAAAAACTCTATAAATCCCGTCTTTACTATGAAATCTTTAGCATGAGATTATGCATTGGATAAACTTTATTTTATAATCATAACCAACTAGGTTAAGGAGTCAAATTTATAATCTAAGTTCCGCGCATTATTTTTATTTTGTTCTTTAAACACATTACAAGTCTCAAGTAGATATAACATAGGACCTCTCAATAAATGACAATACCTTACAATTGAAGTAGAGAAACTTTAATAATATTCATTTGTCTTAAAAATATAGACAATATAATGATTATACTACAGAATATTAGAATAATATTTACATTTACATTATTTTTGTTATGAAATTTGAGTTTAATTTGTGCATTTAATTTATATTTGAAAAAGAAAATTATATTTGTAGTTTCTTATTTAATATTAATCATTTTAATCTCTTAATTTTACTTAAGACATACGTACTTTTGTAATTTCTTATTTAATATTAATCATTTTAATCTCTTAATTTTACTTAAGACATACATACTTTATTAACTTCTTAATTTTCTTCAATATAACCTCTTCGAATTTACTTTTTCATATACAAAACAAAGAATTAACAACTTTATTGTCTAAGAACGTCTCCCAAGGAATGTCTAAACATCATATTCCAACGCCATTCCATCAATATCTGATACTCCAAAGTCCTACCCAAAGGCATAAGACAAAAATTTAGGCAGAGGTGAACAGTGTTGCGCCATATATTGTTAACCACCGCCAAATTAGAGAGGATGGTACAAATTACTCTTTTGTCCTTGTTTATTCACTTCTAAATTTATCATTTTTTTATTACAAAGGAAGGGGGATACCCATACAAACTATGCCTACAACGAGGCTCGAAGCCTAGACCTCCCACATAAGAGAGCAATTCGATACCAGTGGACCACAAGCCACTTGGTTTCTAAATTTATCATTTGTTTGTTTCTTATGTATTTTTACTTTGTTAAATACTTAAATTTAAAAATTATATTATTAAAAATAAATTAAATTATTTTAAAGATCTCATTGAAACATTGAAACAATACTAATATTAAATATATATTAATTTAAAATATCAAACATACTATACTTGTTAAATTGTATTAAATTAGTTAAAATAAAAACTAATAAAGTCTTAAATTTGAAGAAATTATTTAATTTAGTATAGAATAAAATTTGATATAAAAATTTGGTGTAATGAGTCAAAGATTTTTTATTTTTTATTTTTAAATATGATGTGAGAATATGCTAAGCCTTTTGATGGAGATTTTTGGTGTAAATTAGGTTAAAGATAACTCTAAAAATTTTCATTTTTAATATACATCATCTTTGTTTTTCTCCCTACATAAACTCGATAAAATCAAGTTCACTATTTTACCATTATCTCATTTGAAATATATAATACTCCATACTTTTTAGCTAATATGTAATACTTTTATATGAATATGCTATATCATTTCATTCCACTGGGATAAATGAATGGATTGATGATTTGATAGGCAAATATATGTTCAAATAGTGGTGAGATTGCTCTCCTATCATCCAAACAATAAGGTTAACATCAAACTTCTCATTTCCAAACCAGTGTGCAGTAAACAAGATTCTTGATGGCAACAAAATAAAGATCACAAAAATAATCTATTAAATAAAAATAAAATTAAAATTAAAAAAACATTTTTGAATCCTCCTACTCTAGGTGGCCACAAAGCATTGCTACCAACTAAATGAAAACAAGAAATTAATCTCAAATGTCATAGTTTTATGGATCGCTGCTCTGAAGAAACAGAAAAGGCCACCAACATATATACAAGCTAAAGATGGAAATGGCACAAACTGATAACCCGAATACAAGTTTACCTGATGGTCACAAACTTGTTAGTTCCATGCTTAGCCCAGTGAGTCCTTAGATCGATAGGGTTAGCGAAGTTATACCCTTCACCCGCAAGTTTCTCCAAGACCTTTTTGAATGCACCCTGGCTCATCTTCCGTCCAGCAATCCTTGCCCCGCGTCTCTTGTTGTTCATAGGCAAAGGGTACATTGATATAGTCGTGGTGCAACATGCCGACTGCCAGCCTCCACACCCCCACCGGTAGCACTGTTGGGGTGTCCCGGTGCAAGTACACACGGGAGTTGGGATGCTCGAGATATCCATATCGACCCCGCTTATAACCACGTCTATACTCTTCTTTGCTGGCTTTGCACGCTGGGCAGGGGAGTTTTCGTTTTTCTTTGATGCACCCGGCCCTTTCTTCGACTTCTTCCCTTTAGCCGGCGCTGCAGCAGCTGACCGCTTCTTTGACGGGCCGCCATCCTTATCGAGGCTCGGGTCCTCTGCACTAAGACTCGCATCCTTAGTCGAGTCGGGTTGTTGCTGTTGTTGTTGTTGCAGCATTTGCATAGACGAATGCGTTCCAGATGGCTCAGCCATAACCCCACCATAAGGGTTCCCAGGAAGCATATGCAAGAACTTGTCCCTGTGGTTTATCCACCCATCTCGGATGTAGTCTATATGCGTTATGGGCACCTGAGAAACAATCGAATCCCGGGAATGAAAGATCCCGTTCCCAACTATCATGGAAGGATTATCACGCCCAGAAAGGAAGGGTTTCGTGTCACGATCAACCACAGTAGACATAAGCTGGAGCCCCAAATGCCCCTTATGGGTTGGCTCATAATAGCCCCAATTTCTCATGTTCAATCCATCATCATCCATTCAGACGGCTACAAAGACGCACACAAAAACACCTACATTAAATCCTCATACAATTTAGAACACAAACTATCTTTCATAGCACATATAACCCACAAATCTTCATACAATTTAGAACCCAGACTATCTTTTCATAGTACATATAACCCACAAATCTTCATACAATTTAGAACCCAGACTATCATTTCATAGTACATATAACCCACAAATCCTCATACAGTTTAGAACACAAACTATCATTTCATAGTACATATAACCCACAAATCCTCCTACAATTTAGAACACAGACTATCATTTCATAGTACATAACTACATATAGCCCACAAATCTCATACAATTTTTTCAGACCACGAGGTGCTCTAAGGAGGTCATAACTATAGGAGGCACCTTTAAGCACTCAAACTAATTCTCATTCACACTGGGTCGGT